GACTTACTTTTATAGATTATAAAATCTGTTCTTTTTCACCTCTTTTGAATCAAAGTTATGGAATGCTAAGAGCAGTCTGTAGTACTGGGGGGCAGGAGACACCACCACACTTTGGGCTAAATTACTATCTAAAATCAAATTCTGCTATTTTTTCCCCAGGGCCTAAGATCAAAAAGTCTTCCATATATAGCTAACATGAAACTGGATACAGGGTTATACCTGCTATAGATTAACTTGGTTCCTTTTTCCTGAAAGGGATTGTCATCTGACCCCTTTTTTTCAGGGTTAAAGTATAATGAAATTAACAACTCCTTGACTAACACTTTCTATTGTACCAATAGAAGAGAATATATATATAGTTCAGGGTTGAACTGTGGAGTCCTTGGGGTTCTCTCAAACAAGCTCAGAGAACCCCAAGGACTCCACAGTTCCAGTCAGTAACTCTGGTTAATGACTTAGCATACTGTGTGAATTCAGCCAACTGTGGCTTGAACACAATCCATGATTAAGCAAACCATGGCTTATAGTGACATACGGACCCAGTCAAAATACTGTTTTGTTCTTGGGCTGCACCCAACTTGTCCACCTTCCATTATGTTGCAGAACAATCAGATGGTAATAAGCTGGTATTACTGAATTAGCTCTGAACAGTTTTGTTTATTTTTTAAATGAGTGTCATTCAAAGGATCACATTGCTAATTAAATCATATTTTCCTGTTCTACACTATCAGTTTAGTTAAGTTACACCATTCTTCACAAAGTAGGTGGATAATTCAGGCTTTAGGCAAGAAGCTCTTTTGTTTAAAAGAATTTACAGCTCTAATTGCATTCCTTTGTTCCTTATTGCATATAACATTCTTAGAATGTTTTTGATTGTGGAAATTCTGCAGTTTGTTTAAAAACAAAAACCCAGCAACAGCCTTACAGTATTGGCCATCTATATAAAAAAAAAGCATTGATGCAATATGCTAAATAGCGCACAAACATTTGTGTTTTCCGGCAACATGGACAACCAAACAAGCAGAAAAACAAACCAACCATCAAATATGAGGAACAGAATTAGAAATAAATATTAGCAGTGATTAAACCATATTTGCATCAGCTTGGAATGGAATGAGGAAGCAGAATGCAAACATACAAACTGGGTCCATCAAGTGCAGAAATGACATTTAACCCAAGATTTTCCAAAGAATAAAGATAAGGAAATGTAGCTAAAGTTTTTTAAACAATAAATTATTTTTTACTATTTGTATCATGTCCAACAACCTACTTCACACCTCTCTGATGGTTAGTTTAAGTATGATTTACTGAATAAAGTGCTATCAGCTGGGTTTACAGAACACACTGGGCCAAAACTAAATTACAATTATGACTTACCATAATATGTGAGCCTGGTCAGTATGTGAACATACTTCTGTTAACTTCTTCAATGCATAATCTTTTCCACTGCAGAGATGTAAATGACTACAGAGGGAACAATAAAAAAGATCTGTATTCTTTCCTAAACACACCCAAGCATCCTTAGTGGTAGGTAGCACATGGAAGCAAGTGATGAAACACATCATGATGCACAAACTGAAACTTACATACTTGCTTCAGACTTTGGGGCGCAAGTATGTAAGGGCATTATGTCATGTCATGACACTACCTTACCACAAATGTCTTTTTGTTGCAATCTCATTTTGCTGTGGACATCTATGCCTGTATAGTCTCTGGGGTTGTGCTTATTTTGTGTTGGGGAATCCTTTTGGGAAAACTAACTTTTTATCTCCTCCACATTTCATTTGTGGAATTTTTTCACCTGTCAAGTTTTTGTAACTTCCTCCATCCTCAATCCAATTTTTAATCCAGGGTTTAAGGAAACAAATTGGTAAGGGGAAAAAAGCACAGCACAAAGAGGAAAATGGAAAACATTCCCAATTCTTGCCTATTTGCTTACAGAAAAAAACCAAACATCCAAGGAATTGTATTTTCACATCAGCAAAACATTATCAGTCCAACAGATTCACCAGCTGAGGGTGAACTGTTTGGATCCCTTCAAATCTAAAGCTTAGGACAATTGAGCTATTTAATCTGTATTATGAAATGATGTGCTGCTTTGAAAAGGTGTTTAATAACAGCCAGAAATATGAAGTCACTCTAAATGGCATTCTTCCACCTATTTCTGGTTTTAGCATTCTGCCACTGATTTATCAACTCATGAAGTTTCTATGCTGAAATGTGATTATATCGCATTGCTGTTCACACAACATGCTAAACTTTGATTTCTTAGCCATGATTTACTAAATAAGCCACAAAAGTAAATTCTTCCAACATTCTAAGCCATAAAACATGATTAACAAATCACAGTGGCTAGGCTGACACAATGTACTATGCCACAAATAAATAAATTACGTTGTGTAACTTATTTCTCGGTGAGGAACCACATTCCAAAAAAAAATAGCATACGTAGCAAGGAAATAGGTAAATTTAATTTAGATGTCCATTTCACTAAAATTAAATATAATTAATATGATTATGTTTAGTTAATATAATTATTCTGCCCTGTCTTCAAAAATGTTCCCCTTGAGTCACAGAAAGAACTGTAATTTAGTAATGATGGCTTACTGAATATATCACAAATGGTTGGATTCACAAAATACACTAAAATAAAACAAAACAAACCACTTTTGCTTAGTAAGAATGCAATCTTTGTTAGCCTAGCCTACAGAATGCCTAATCAATCGAACTTATTTTTAAGTGGAAAATATGAAGTTGATCTCTGATTCTAATCAGCAAAGAAATGAGTAAAACTGAAAAATGGTATTGTTCTGATGTTCACAGAGCTATAGTTATTTAGGTCTGGTGTTATTTTGAGGAATGAAAAATAAGGTTAAACACTCCCTTTTAAAAAATGAACAAAATTAGCTAGGATGTGGTAGCACTTTTCCCCACCTTCAGTTTGCCTCACAAAATGTCAATATGCAGTTTAGTCTTCAATATTTCTATTCCTCCTTCAAGGAGGTATAAACTGCCCTCTTCCTTAAGGTCAATGGCCAATTGCAAATTTGAATTTAGATTCTTCTAGCCCGTCTGATATTCTAATCCAGAAATTTGTGTCAGTGTCCTTCCAGATGTTTCTGCTTCACAACTCCCAAAAGGCCCATGCCCAATCTGCATGACAAATGTGGAGAGTGGCCATTCTAAATCTAACCACAATGCCATTTCTTCTGCATCTTTTTCCTTAGCGAAGAATACTCCTCTGTATCCTAAATTGTTTAGACTTCTTACACTCTTTTTCATTTCTTAGTATCTCCAGCAATAAATGCCTGTTCTACTGGAGTCTGATAAATCTTTTTTGTGTCATTATTTATTTAGATAATTTATACTGCTGCCCATCCCACAGAAGTCTGGAGAAGTGATAACACACTGGTAAAAATGTATTGTACACCTGGGATCCAACATTCACTACATTAGAAGTGTTGCACAGCTGCAAAGTGGCTTTCCTTCAATGCTGAATTTCCATTTAAGACTGATGGGAAACACTTCTAGCGCAGATGTGAACTTGTCACCTTTAATGTTAGAAATTAACTGAATAATACAACCAGCAATATACTATTGCTGAAACACACTTATGTACACAAGAATCTGGATTGTAAATACTGCGCAACTATAGGCTTTTTGTAAAACTGCAATCCTATCTGTTTACGGAATTGGGCTGCATCACTTTTACAGGTCAGGCTGGACAGCAGATCATTCTGAACCTTATGTAAGGCTGCAGACAGGAACTTTCCTCTCATGAGACATTCATAGGAACTAATGCTTTGAGACCTTTTGATTAGTCAATTGTGGTATAATTTTTAGGAAATCACTTCACCTGATGCATGACCCCACAGACTGTTATCCTCAGCCAGCGTGGGAGTAATAGCTTTCCACTGATCCACCATAAAATCTGGGTGGACTAAAGTACCTCAGAGTTCTACTTTGTGAGTAACAAGCCGACCTGACGACACCCCCCCCCCCCCCCCCCCCCC